CTCACAATTTTGGTGTGGCCTGGCATATCACTAGTGTTCCCTCAGATTCAGCTGGGCAAAGAGCTGCCCAGACTTATTTCCCGACTCCCTTGCAGCTCAGCATTCAGCAAGCTGGACACAAGGGGGGGGGGGGAATGGGACGACAATATCTTACAGCTCCCAGAACCTTCTGAAAAATAAGTAGGGTTTGTTCCCTTTTGCTCCCCATCCTAACAGTTAGATCTCAGGATGTAATGGCTAAAGGTTCAGCCACCGTTGTGGACCAGGAGGACCATGCAATCACACAATGTGTTTCTGAAGCTGCCTGTGCGCTCATCCTCTGGGCCTTTACCCAGAACAAGGAAAGCCCTATTTTACTTATGCTTTGCTGTCATAGCAACTTACGCGCTGAGGTTTGAGTCTGGCGGATGTAAGGCAGAGAATGGGTCTGGCTTCCCTTCCCAGCCCTGGGAGGACATGAGCTCTGGGAAGGTGAGGCTGAGCCCGACTACATAAAGGCGGACAGCTGAGGCCAAAGGCCTCCTGTCACCCTGATACTAAAGGGCGTGGCTCTCCTAGGGAATGCTCTGCATGGGGATGATGGCCACATAAGCGTGGACACTGGCCTAGATACTATGTTATTCTTGGGGCGCCTCCCCCAGGGGCCACAGTCATCTTCCTTCCCTAGTCCAGAGAAGCCAAAGTCTCTGCAGCAGCCTCTCCCAGCCCTGGCTTCCCTGAAGGCTGGGTTCTCAGAGAACAGGGAGGGCCACCTCAGCCCGGGGGTGCTGGCAGCTTTGGAAAGGCTAACCAAGTCCCTTCTCTCTAAACAAAAGCCCTGTCGTTTGCATTGCTATAATTATCTGAGGGAATTTCAGGGGTAATTATGGTCGTTTACAGCAAGCCTAAAAAGGGATGTATGTGTGCCTCCAAGGAAAAGCTGGGTTTGGGGCACAGGCACAAGGATGCGCTTCCCATGAAGGGGCCCTGCACCTGCAGAGGGGCTGGAGAGATACAGCAGGGAGCCACCAGGGGCACTGCTGTGGAGCCACCCCCTGCTTGCAGGAAAGGGCTCAGAAAGGCCCAGGCCCATTGCTCTCCTGGAAGAATACAAGTTGGCTTGGTGCAGACAATTCTGGGTGCAGCACTCACAGCCTCCCCCCTCAATACTTCCTGCCAGCCCAGGACCATTCGTGCTTTAGGGTACAGTCAATGGTTCTCGCAAGCCCTGGCAGGCCAGGCCCTGCCTGGGAGGACCTACATTAAATCCCCCTATCTTGTGGCTTCTAGGAGACAATGCCTGGGATTCTGGCTTCTGCCTGGTGCCTTCCCTCCAGTGGCCTGTCTCCAGCCTCCCACGTATGTGCTGATGTGAGCCACTGTCAAAAGGTCTAGAACCTAGGTGGCCTTCACAGGACACTGGTGGTGACGGTTAAAAGCTGCTTCCAGCATGTCTATACCAACCTGTTGAGAAATTCATATCGCTCATTCAAGCAACACAATATTGTCCAGAAGCAAAAACCAAGTCCCCACTCTGCTCTCCGGCTTGACATTCTCAAAGCCCTTCATAAGTCACCACCTGGCAGCTTTCTTCAATGCCCGCACCACCCGCGTCTGCAGGCCAGCCCACGGCATGCTCAGGCCTAGCCTAGCTTTGCCCACTCAGAGAGGTCCTTCTCCACGGGGACCTAGGGAAGGAGCCCCGAGCAGGCACAGAGCCCTCCTACATTCCTCTGAATCTGAGTCACCGTGTCTCACCCCCACCCCAGAAAACTCTTAGAGCCCACAGTTCCGTACTTGATGCTGTTGTGCGGCGTTCTCAACCTTCCTAACGCTGCGACCCTTTAGTACAGTTCCTCATGTTGTGGTGACCCCATATTAAATTACTCCAGTGTTATGCCATCACTGTAATGCCGCTACTGTTATGAGTCATAATGTAAATATCTGTGTTTTTCCATGGTCCTAGGAGACCCCTATGAAAGAGTTGTCTGACCCCCAAAGGGGTCACGGCCCACAGGTTGAGAACTGCTGCTATAGCAAAACAAAGAGTCAGCTTCCTGAGGTCAGGAAGGCCTGGCCTAACGCTCAGAGCAGTCCTGGGCACAAGGCCCACTGCTGGCCCTTCTAGAACATTCACCCACTGAAGCCCCCCCCCCCCCCGCTCAGCAGGGTGAATTATCATTCACAAAGAAGCCTGAACTATTGGCTTGAGGCCCACTTCCACCGTAGACAGAAACATACACACTAGAAACCAGTGTTTAATAAAGTCTTAATCTAGGAAACAAGCTAGGATGTCCTAAAGACTCAGGAAAGACACCACCATTTTGTGGACACAACAAGGAATGCCCCAGGTAGCATCAGGATCCACCTGGGGTTTGCTACCCCAGTTACCTAGCCACTGGGTTCTCTCCGGAATACTCTGCAACCTCCTAACAGCGAGCAGGCTCCCTAAGGCAGTTTCAGCACTACAGCCTGGTTCCTTGACCACGAGGTGCAAGCTCGCTCCAGCCCTGAGCTGTCCTTGAAATCAGGGTGCAGGGGCCCTGACTTCCCACTCACTAAAGTCTCCAACAAGTTCTAAGACCCACTAAAGATGTTTGAGCCCTGCGGCCGTAGCAGGAACAGCGAGAAGCTACTGTTTCAGGTGACCGTGGGGGCACACAACATTCTATGCTTCTACAGACAAAATCCCCAGTACTCTAACTGCTGCCCTGAGGATGAACCACACTACCCCCATCTAGAGCATGCACAGAACAGGCTAAGTGAACAGTTCACGGCCACATGGGGAGCTGGAGCGAGGTTCCAATCCAACTTCAACCTGTCTCCTTCCACAGCCTGTTTATTAGGCTCCACGGTGGCACCTTCCATAGACCCATCCCCCTCCCCACCCCCAGCACACACACATCTCATGGGCAGGCCTAGAACATCAGGTGAGGCTATGAACCTGCCGTTTTCTTCCACCACCTAATCCTTCCTTCATATCTAATGCTACTTGCCCTTTATGTGACCAGTGTCCAACAGACACACCTTCTGGCTTTGGACCCATCTTGGAAAGCAATGCAAACCATCCATAGCCAAGGAAGAAGGCTGCCACCTGCCTGCCCTCAGACCCCACAATAGCTGGTAAGTAGTGAGGATAGAAGCCTCCAGACCCCCTCCAGGACAGCCAATCACAGCTCTTTCCCAGGACATATTCCCCTGTGGGGAGGAGCTCTGCTCTAAGCAGGACCTTGACTGCACTGTCAGGCAAGCTTCAGAGCAGGCTGAAGGGCCACTGAATGTCAGTGTGTCTGCTCGCTCTTAGGCCTCTACTGTGGTTTAAATACAGTGTGCATCTCCTCCCAAGGTCCACATGATCAGAGGGCCCTAAGGATGCAGTGGAAGAGGGACTGAATCCTTTAAGAGGTGTTTCTCAATCTGTGGTGGAAACCTGGGGGAAGGGCATCTGAACAGCCCTTTCACAGGACTCGCCTAAGACCGTGGAAAAACACAGACATTTACATCACAATTCATTAACAGTAACAACATTCTAGTTATGAAGTAGCAACAAAAATAATTTTACGACTGGGGGAGGGTCACCACAGCATGAATTGTGTTAAAGGGTTGCAGCATTAGGAAGATTGAGAACCACTGCTTTAAGGGATGGAGGCTGGGGTGTGTGTGTGTGTGTGTGCGTGCGTGCGTGCGTGTGTGTGTGTGTGTGTGTGTGATCTGGGAGGGGCAGCTCCTAAGGTCAATGGGACTCCTTGGGAGTTTTCACAAGCGGGAGTTATTATCAAAGAAGCAAGTTTGGTTCCACTCAGCTTTTTGAGTTCACAGTTTAAGACGCAACCGTCTGCCTGGTTTCCATCTGTGTCCCTGCCAGTGTCGCTGCCATGAGGGAACACAGCCAAAGAACAGCCCTGCACTGCACTGCCTGGACTTTACCTTCGAAACCATGAGGCAATTAAGCCTTCCCTTTCCACAGATAGCCTAGCTCAGGTACTTTGCTATGGCAACAAAAAGCTGTCTAACGCAGGCTCCAGGACTCATCTGTAAAATGGTCAGGATCACTGTACCCAGCAAACAGCGCTGACAGACAGAATACGGGAGGCTTCAGGCCAAGCATGTGGTGCTTACCCAATAAACGGATGCTCCCATAGCCCTATCCCTTCATTCAGGACTACCTCTAGTTCTGTCTACTGGACTGAGCTCACTTGCCCTGCCCCCGCAGCAAAGGACCATTCAGGTTAGGGTTCAAGGCAGCTAAGGCCACAGACATGGTCTATGTAAGGGGCAGTCAGGGGGACCGGTCTAGCAGCCCCTGGGCTGGGGCAAAGAAAGAACTCTGTTGCTTAGAATGACAACAAAACAGCTCGGCAGGGGACATTGGGGCAGGGAGACTAGGCAGTTACCTTTCATGAGGATCTTTCTAGAATGTCCATCTCACAGAAACATGCCTCGTAAAGGCCGTCTGCTCTCTTTTGGGGCTGCCCTGCTCCCCGGTGGGGTCAGGTGGGACAGAGAGACAAGACCTCTGGAGACAACCAGCAGCTGGCAGATGTTCCACAGGCAGGGGAGTCTCCACCCAGGGGAACAGCGTGTACCCCATGATGCTCCGCAGCAGCAGCAGCAGCAGCGGCATCTCTCTGCATCTGATTAGACACCTGGTTTCCCCTTGTCTCCTTTGCCCTGTTACATAACTCCACTCCATGTGAGTGGTTCCGCACACACGCCTGTTCCCCGACCACAGTGCTATCAGGACACCTCATCTCCCCCCAGGGGTTCAGCACAGCAAAACCCTTTGCAGCGGTCAGAACTACTCTCCCCAAGAGCATTCTTTGGCTTGTATTTCTTAATCCTGGTTGCAAAGAAGAACATAGTTCCTCCCTACCTATGATGGCTGCCCCCAGAACTCAATTCCGTCCTGTGCCAAAGTGCTCAAGACAAGATCCCTTGCCCTTCCTCAAACATTAATAACCCGTGACTGCAGAGGCGGCTGGGCCACACCTGTCAGGAGGCTGAGCCACATGTGTCCATACCTTTCATGTAGGCCTCAATCTTGCGTATAAGCTCGTAGGACTTGGAGCGGTCTAACAGGGTCCTGATGGCGGGGAGGGGGTCCAAGACGATGGTCTCGGGGTGAGCATCAATGTACTCCTGAAAGAAAAGCCCACTGTGGTTAGAGGAGGAGGGGGAGGCTGCTATAAGAGCAATGACAGGGCTCTGTGCACACAATCCTCCACAAACCTGCTCTTCTCCCTCCTTTCCCCACGACATGACTTTGATTAAACTAATAACGGGACCAGAAGAGGACACGTGACCTTGCATCTGTCCAATCAGAGGCAGGCTTGGGGTCTGGCTGGGATTCTTCTCTGCCTCCTGGAGGAAAGAGCACAGAGGTGTGTATCTGTGCACAGGCACAATGGGAACTTAAGCAGAGTGTGCCTAAGGCCCGAGCACAGAAGGGGAGAGCAGTTATGTTCTGATGAGGTCATGCGCCCCTTTGGTAAGAGTTCTGTCTGAATCCAGACCTGGTCAATCTGCTCGGCATGCTCCATCAGAGCGCCATTCCAGCCTCCCGCACCAACGGATAAGGAAATGTGTGGCGAACAGGGACTGGGCCACTTACTTCAGCCATACCATTAGGTGTTCAACCTTGTTAGAAAGGTGTCAGCCAGGAGGACTTCCCCTCCAACATGGAGCAGTTTTTTGATCTCAAGGGAAACTGGGGGTAAGGGATAGCCTTTGAAGAGTCTGACATCATCCTGGAAGGAGCAGACACTTACATGGGAGACAAGACACTATAGGACAACTCAGTAAATTAAAGACAGAGGGGCTGGGGAGATGGACCAGCCAGTGAAGGGCTTGCTATGCAAGCATGAGGATCTGAATTTAATCCCCAGGTCGGGTGAAAGCAGGCAGGCAGATCCCTAGGGCTTGCTGGTCACTCAGCCTAGCCTACCTGGCAAGTTTCAGAGGAGTAAGAATAAACAAGGTGGGCAGTTCCAAATGAACAACACTTGAGGGTGACCTCTAGCCTACACACACACGTGCGCGCACAAAAACACACGCATGCACACAATACACACAGAGACACACACACAGAGACACACACGCATACACAAGCACACACACATGCACAGACGCGCATACACCTACATATACAGAGACACAAACATGCACACATGAGTATACACCCACCAAGAGACAAGAAAAGCCACTCTGTCGTGACTCCACAAGCCCTAGGCAGAATGAGTCAGAGCAACTTGTTGACATATGGAAATGAGATTGTCCTCTCTGGCTCTTCAAATTTATAATTTGAAGGATATAATTACAAGATGCTGAAGAGGGCTTCAGTAAAAAGGCTGAGCTCAAGGAAGGCCCTTCCCAGCACCTGTGAATAAGGACCTATTTGGAAATGGGTCGGGTCTTTAGCCATTATCAAGTTAGTAGGCAGTTGTACTGAGTATGTGTGAGTATGAGCCAGATCCTCCCTTGGCCTCCAGACAGAACTAGCCCTGCTAATATCTTGAGTTCAGAATTTCAGGGCCTAAACTATGACAGAATGAATTGCTAAGTCACCAGGCTTATGGTCAAGACAGCCCTGCCCCCACCCCCCCAAAAAAATAATCACACAAGTTCACTTTATCACCGCTGCCTTCAAGCCAGCCCCACCCTGGTCCACACCCCAGGCTGAGGTTAGCAAAGGTCAGGAGAAAATACCCGCAAGGCCGCTCTCAATAAGCTTTATCAACACAGAAAGAGCCATTGACTGTTTTCTAAGAGAGCCTATTTTTGTTCCTAGTATCACTTTGAGAGCATCTAAGGCAAAGCCAGAGCCATACTCACTTGGTCCACAACTGCCCTTCCCTTGAACTCACACAGGACTTCCTTTCTGTCCTCTCCCCAAGGCTTAACTCTCCCTCTCTCCCCTGGACGTGTGCCACCTGGGGAGGGCCTCTGTGCTGGCACCAACTCTAGTAGAGTCCAGTGTCCTGCCCACTCCTGAGACTGACTCCCTTTGCCCCGTGGCTGCTTATACAGCTGCTATGCAGATAAACGAAGAATGGCCAATAGGCCACACAGCTGTGCCCATTGCCACTCTCTCCTAGTCTCGGCTTACCTAGGGGCTGTTCCTGAGCCCTGCTTCTCCCATGGGGGCTTCTCACGGGCAAGCGTAACTGCTTTCCTTCATCGAGGCATGCTGACACACAAGCCCCCCTCCTCCCTATGCTGCTCAGAGACTTACAAAACATAACTCTACATGTGCCAGTGCTGGGGTGTCTTCCAGGTGCAGCAGACACACCAGTGAAGAGGAACCGCTACATCCGGTTCCCAACTCCTCCACAGTCTTAGCGAGCCCTGAAAGTCCCAGTCAGTCCTTCAGCCCTTGGGAGGCAGAGGCAGGTGGATCTCTGTGAGCTCGAGGCTGGCCTGGTCTACAGAGCGAGTTCCAGGACAGCCAATGCTAAACAAAGAAACCCTTTCTTGAAAAACTTAAAACAAAACAAAACAAAACAAAAAACCAAACCAAACCAAACCAAAAAGAAAAAAAAAACCCACTCCCTCAAACCCCTTCCCAGGCCACTGCTTCCAGAAGCACCCTGGTGTTCCAGGAAGAACATGTGACAGGGACCTAGGCAGCCAGCCACTGGACTTCTCAGGGTCTCTCAAGATATACTGCGGATGACCCTGCAGGTTCTTGTACGGACACCCCAGGAGTCTGCTGGCTAGAGAAACCCGAGGAGCAGAGTTCCAAGGCCACAAACGACTTCCCTGGAGGGCGAGAGACTGTTTCCTGATAGCACTGCAGGTGTCACCAGGGCTGCACGCACTTGCTGCCCCAGACACTCACCACCCAGGGGATGGCCCGTTCTCCCCAGCAACTGAAGCCACCTAAACACAGACGTGCATTTCCTCCCCAATGCCCCCAACAAAGCTCATGTGGCCTCATGTTCCTGCACCAGGACAGAAACCTTTAAATAGAACTCAGTATCACCGAGGCAGGAATTTAAGCCAAAATCACAAGAGAAAGAAGCCACATGAAACCAGAGAGGGAAACAATCTGACAAGCAGGCGCCAACAAGCTTGGGCCAGGGATGAAAGCAGCGGTGCACACAGAAGAATCTCTGCCTGGCTTTTCCCTGGGATCACAGCACGTTTTCCTCCGAGCTTTTCAGCTCATCCATTGTATGGAGGGCTGCGCGCACTTTTCACAAGTCTCTTAGAATTGCCAAACAAACTGCTGGAAGAAAGACTCAAACCATCTCCATGGCAAATGGTAAACACCCATTCCCTTGGAGAGCTGGCCTGCCACGAGGGAGCAGAGTGAGATCCTGAAGAGAAAGGGAGAAAAGGGAGTCTGGCCTTTCCACGGAAATGGACACCCTGGACCCAGTGGGGTCAGGAAGAGGCAGAAAGTTCCACTGTCAGAGGGATAAGGAGGCAGAGGCAAACCAGGTGCCCACTCGGGGAGCACAGGCTCTCCAGGGCCACCGATGATGCCCTAGGGGCACTATGGGTAGGGGAAGACAGTTTTCCCACTGCAATCTGAGACAAAAGAGCGGACTGGGGGAGCACCAGCTGTACTACATCTCTGCAGCCCCCTGGCAGGGAGTCAAACCTTGCTCTCCAACAGAAAGGACCACCAGAAGCCCCAGACTCAGATCTGGCCGTGTGTTATAGTTAGATTTTTGCCAACCCGATACAAACCTAGACATACTTGGGAAGAAAGAGTTCTCATTTGAGGATTCGCTCCACCAGACTGGCCTGAGGAAGCAATGTCACATCTTGACCGTTAATTGACATAAGAAGGTCCATCCCCATCGGGCGATGGTGGCTCAACCTTTAATCCCAGCACTTGGGAGGCAGAGAAAGTCAGATCTCTGTGAGTTTGAGGCCAGCCTGGTCTACAAGAGCTAGTTCCAGGACAGGCTCCAAAACTACAGAAAAACCCTGTCTCATAAACAAACAAACTAATTAATTAATTAATTAAAAAAGAGGGCCCATCCCACCGTGAACGGTGCCATTCCTAGGCAAGTGAGCCTGGGCTGTTGAAGAAAGGTAGCCGAGCAAGCCATGGAAAACAGGCCAGTAAGCGGCTCTCCTCCATCATTGCTGCTTCATCTGCCTTTGGGTTCTTGCCTCAGCTTCCCTCGACGATGGACGGTAACTGTAGCTGGAAACAAAGCCTGTTCTCAAGCCGCTGTTGGCTATGGTGTTTAACACAGCCAGAGGAGGAAACTGGGACACATGCTCCATGTCCGGAAGCAAGCCTGCAGTCCCATGATGTGACTGACCTAAGCTCTGGATAAAGCAATCCCAGGGGGCTGCTGGGGTCCACGGACGATCAACGCATAGAGGGCGGGTAGAACACAGAATAAAAGAATGTTCTGCATTTTGCAACACGGGACTCAGCAAACCACTGGGCTCAAGTCTCTGGGCTCACCCTACCCCTACCCTGAAGACTCTCCAGGTCACTAGCTCTGCACTGGAGAGTTGCCGCAAGAGGTCCCAGGCTCCGAAGGACACATATGAGCGTAATTCCACTGAGTGCTGTCCCAAAGACATCGCCTGGATACCAGCCCATGGCTCAATCCAGCAGGGGCCAGCATCCAGAGCTTCATTTGGCTCTGGGAGGAGATGCACTGGGCATCTTGGACTTACAGGTCCTAACTATGGGCTCCCAGGAATCAGGAGGTTGGGTGTTTTGGTAGCACCTGACCACCAAGGGAACGGCAGGAGTGACTCCCAGGCAGAGCTGAACTGACTTCCATTTAGCGGCTGAAGATTACTCTAATGGGAGCCTTTATGGAAAGGAAGTGACTGTGGGCCTTCTCGGTGCCATCTTCCTCCTCTCAGTTCCTCTGACAGTCATAAAGGCTGGCCTTCTGCACTCCTCCCAGGCTGGGTGAGAGCCAAGAAAGCTTTGGACCTGGACTCACCTCCAGGGTGAATCACTCCTAAGACCATAGACAGGCTTCTCTCATACCCATCCCATCACAGACGTCCTGTTAATTGCCCCTCCAACGAAGAAACCAGGGCTCAGAGCACCTCAGTGAAGGAAGGTCCCTATGGGATCCTGGCTCCAGGAAGGACAGCTCAATTGCATCTGGGCCAGCACTATTCAGCTCATTCCGAGGAGGAAGCTGCGATGG